TTTTTTTTTTTTTTTGACTCTAACGACTACGTCATTATGCCTTTGTAACGTGATATTAAACTATTGAAGTTTGTATGAATTTCTGAATGCTTGAGGCATGTTGCATGTTTCCCACATATATATATATATGTACTGCTTTTGTTGGCAAGACTTGCCTTTGTGGACTGCTTGAAATTTTCCGACAGGTTGGATATCGTTGAAAACAGGGTATATGCTGCCGAAATTTTTTTTGAGAGAAGCAGAATTTCGAAAGTTTCTTTTGCATGGTTTATCTAGATTCTAAGCTTGACAAAACAGCTTCCCACCTTTCCCAAAGGGTCAAGCTAATATGTGCATGATTTCTACTCGGGCTCTATAAAGCTTCCAGGTGCTGTGCGCATCATGCTATTCCAGCACCTCAAAATTGCATGTTTCTTTGCAAACACAATTTATGCTATTTTTTTTTTGCTTAAGCGCGATGCTTTGGGACCCCATCTGAGTGACTTTGCCTAACGTGTCTCACTACTAAGTGGCATGTTTTGTTGTTTTTATTTATTTATTTATTATATAAAGAATTTTTTTATTTTTTTTGACAAAGTGTAAATAACAGTAAAACTTTTAGAGACACAATTTTTTTTTTCAAAAGATTCCTTCATTCTCATTGCAAAGCGCTTGCCACCATAATGGTGCGTCATACAAAAGTGTCTTTAAAACATGAAAATAAGACAGAAGGAATTTTTTTTTTTTTTTTACAGAAGGAAAATATAAAAGTACGGGGCATAAAGTTATCTTAGCAGTGGTAGAACTTGAGCCATTTCCCGTTGATGGGATCCGTCAGCGTGCCCTCTTTGACAGAGACCAAGCGATAATAGCCACTGCTATAAACTTCTTTGACTGCAAACGGTCCTTCCCATTATGGCGCAAACTTGGAAGGTCCCGACACTTGTCTTCTCACATGCTTGACAACTTTTAGCACAAGATCTCCTCGTTTGAAGGCTTGAGGCGTGACTGTCCTGTTATATGCTTGAGCAACAATTTTGTGGCAAAGTGCCATCATTCTTTCGACTTCTACTCTTCTTCAAGGTCCAGCATGCGCCATTCCGAGCATGACTTTGTATCCCATTCGAGGTCGTTAACAGCTGCTATTCTGGCAGTGGGGATGGTGATCTCTACTGGTGAAATGGCATCGGACCTATACACAAGCGAATAGGGCGAGAAACCTGTGGCACTTCTTGAAGAGGTGCGGTAGGCCCATAAAGCATCCGGCAGGTGAACACTCCAACCTCCTTCATACTCATAAACCATTTTGCTTAGGATTCTTAATAAAGTCTTGTTCGTGGTTTCCGCTTGACCATTTCCTTGTGGGTAATAGGGCGTGGAGCGACGATGCTTGATGCCATAACCACTAAGCGTCGAGCTTACTTGCTTATTAACAAACGGGGTGCCATTGTCGGTGACAATCTTATACGGGATCCCAAATCTACATACGATATATTCACGGATGAAATTGGCAACGGCAGCCCCCATGGCCTTCCGCAGAGGAATCGCCTCAACCCACTTTGTGAAATATTCAGTGGCTGTGATGATCCATATGTAGCCGTCAGATAATGGATGGATAGTTCCGATCAAGTCAAGCCTCCAAGTATGAAAGGGCCAAGGAGTGCGCATATCCTGCAGCAGTGTGGGAGGCTTGTGACTTAAGTTGGCATGAACTTGGCATGTGTGGCACCTCTTCACAAATTTGTATGCATCATTCTTCATTGTATGCCAATAATACCCAACACTCAGCAGCTGCCGGTAAAGCCTCTTCATTCCTTGGTGCTCACCACATTCTCCAGCATGAATCTCTTCCATGACTTGCTGTGCTTCTGACTTTCCCAAGCATTTTAATGGCTCACCATTAAACCCCTTGCGATAAAGAGTTGACCCATCTATGAAGTATCTTTTCATTGTCCTTTTGAGCTTGCGTGCATGCTTGGGATTGGTTGGCAAGACTCCATTGATGAAGGATGCCAAGTATGGAGCCCTCCAATCCTCCGGAAACGAGCTGGTGAATGATTCCTCGGTGGAGGGTATCTTTGCACACTTGGGACAATTGGCTTGCATTTCAGCTGCTTGTTTCCTCATTTCTGGCCAATAATAACCCTTGTGCTGCAGGTGCCGATACAAGCTAATTATTGGCTCCAAATTGCAAGTAACCTCATGTACCTCTTGGAGCTTCTCCTGCGCTTCTGTTGTCCCTATGCAGCGGGTCAAAATACCTCCTGGAAGGCGTCTGTACAGTTCCCCAAAAATGATCGCATAATCCTTCAATTCTTTGATGTCGTTTCCTTTGCCTATTTTTTCTTTCACAAGCTTCCTCCAGTCATCCTCTTCCAGCTGCTCCTCTTGAGCCATTGCTTCAACAACCGGCGTGTCCTTCTTGATTACTGTAATATTGGGCTGTTCTTCAACAAATGAGAGCCTTGATCCCAAAGTGGCCAACGCATCAGCATATCTATTAGTGACCCCCGGGATATGTTCCAGCACAACTTGTTTGAAAGAACGAACAAGCCTTTCAGCAGCTGTACGATATGGCGCCAATGCTGGTTCCTTCATAGCGAAATTTCCTTGCAATTGACTCAGCACCAAGTTTGCTGTAGACACCCATTTTAATTCTTTCGATACCCATTTCCCTTGCTATAGACATCCCTGCAATAAAAGCTTCGTACTCCGCCGTATTATTTGTGCATGGAAAATTTAGTTTAAATGAGAGGGCCGTGGCTTGCCCCTCGGGATTGACAAGCACCACACTTGCCCCTCCACCCTTCAATGTAGAAGACCCATCGAAGTAGAGGGTCCATGGTCCCACCTCTGTGACTACAGCAACCATCTCTGGCAGCTCCCGCAGAACTTCCTTAGAGATTGTTAATTCTTCAACTTCGGGAAATAGAGGCAACATGTCAATCACGGATTGCCCTTTGATGGCTTTTGGGGTGGTGCAGGTGATATCAAACTCGGATAGTTGCAGCAGCCATCGTGCAAGGCGTCCGGATAACATCGGCCTTGTAAGCAAATATCTTACGGGATCAGACTTGACTATGAGATGTAGCTTGTGAGCAAAGAAGTAATGCCGCAAGCGCTGTGCAGCATAGACAAGAGCAAGGCACAAGAGTTCAGTCTTCGGATATCTCACTTCAGCTCCCCTTAGTTGCCTACTTACGTAATAAATGAGACTTTCTTCCCCGTCATGATTATCTTGAGCAAGCAAGGACCCCACCGCTGTGTTTGTTGCAGCCAAATAAAGCTTGAAAGGAAGCCCCGGAATAGGTGCTCTCATAGTGGGTAGCTTGGTGATTATGTGTTGCACTTTCTTGTAAGCTTCTTGGCACTTTTCACTCTATTTATACGGCGTGCCTTTTTTGAGCAATGGAGTAAAAGCACTCATTATGGCAGCAAGACCAGGGATGAAGCGTCGGATATACGATAGTCTTCCAATAAAACTTTTCAATTCTTTTGGGTTTCTAGGGGGTGCAAGGGAGTTGATGGCTCTAGTTTTTTCAGAATCCACATCTATGCCATGCTGGTGTACCTGAAACCCCAAGAATTTGCCGGATGAAACTCCAAACGCGCACTTCTTTGGATTCATCTTCAGTCCGTACAGGCGGCACCTTTCCAGCACCTTCCTCAAAACTTCTTGATGGCCTTCTCTGGTTTTGGACTTCACCACAAGGTCATCCACATAGTCTTCGACTTCTTTTCCCATCATGTCGTGAAACACCCTGTCATGGCTCTTTGGTATGTGGCGCCCGCATTTTTGAGGCCGAATGGAATGACCGTATAATAAAAATTCTCATATGGTGTTCGAAAGACTGTCTTATCAGCATCTTTGGGTGACATCTTGATCTAATTATAACCACTAAACCCATTCATGAATGACAACAAGCCTTGACCCGAGGTCGAATCAATTAAGATATCCATGTTGGGCAGCGGGAACTCGTCCTTTGGGCAAGCTCGGTTGAGGTCCCTGTAATCCGTGCATATTCTGATCACACCGGTTTTCTTTTTCACAGGGACAATATTTGCTAGCCACGTAGGATGCTTAATTGGCCTAATGAATCCGGCAGCTAACAACTTTTCAATTTCCACCTTGATTTGCTTCTCAACTTCAAGATGAAAATTCCTTCTCGGCTGCACAATAGGTTTTGTACAAAGCTCAATATTCAAAGTTTGACTTGCTAAGCTTGGGTTTAAGCCAGACATTTCCTCATAGCTCCAAGCGAACACATCTCGGAATTCTTTTAGCAAAGATACTATGGCCTCCTTCTCTTTACTTGTTAAATGAACGCTGATGGAGACGGGCCTTGGGGCAGAGGGATCCTCACTCAAATCAATTGTTTCCAGCTGCTCAGCTACTGCTGCTGATCCATCTTGTATGTGTCTGGGTGCTGTCATCGGTTCTTGGAAAACACAAGACATGGGTGCCTTGTTATTAGAACTCCCACAGCTATTTGTTTGCATTATTTTCCCTCCATACTCGGGGCTTTCCCATAAGACACGGTCAAGCCCCCAACCCCGTCATAAGCGATACATGGTACGTCCATCGGGCAGCATCACCTTTGAGCATTGGGGATGATCATAGGCATGATTGTTGACTTCCGAATGCCTCTTTCTCTCTCGATCAACAATGGTGACAAGCTCCTCATGCTTAAATCACGAATTTCAGTCCACGAAAGAAGGTAGGTCCCGAAATTCTTAGATGGGTTGCTTCCAGCACCTGTGCATTCAATGTAGAATTCTGCCTCGGAGTAGTGAGCTTCATCCTTCTTGAACGGTGCTTGATTCCCAGGTATACGTAGTGGCCTCAGCCCAATTCTTCCTTTTACGCATTGATGATAGGTAGAGACCACAAGTTTATGTTTGTTGAGCCATGGCCTCCCAAGCAAAGCATGGTAAGCCACATCCACATCCACGGCATAGAACTTAATAGGTGACCGAATTGGCCCAACCTTCAAATTTACTTGCAGATGCTCGACTGTGACCTCACTCTTATTTCCGAAACCGCTGATGTTTGTTTGTGATTGGACAATTTTGGACAATGGGATACCAGCTGCCGTAAGCACAGACAGAGGTAATATGTTGACAGAGGAACCCGTGTCTACCAAAGCTCTCCTTATGAACACATCATTGATTTGTCCCTCCAAATAAAGCGGCCTCCTATGGTCCGGGTATGAAACTTCCATGTCTTCGTCCGTGAAGACAATAGCATTGTCATTTCCCAAAAATGACCCTTGTGGTTGAGCGGTAAAGCAATGAGAGTTAGACTCCGCACAGATATTCATCAGAGCTACAGCAGCTGCTTCTCTTGCTTGAGGCCCGAAGCCAAGTTAGTCAAAGAGTGATTTGAACTTCGGGTTTCTTTGAAGGACCTGTGAAGCTGTGAGCCCCTGTTTTGTGCTTAAATAACGTTCCATCACGCTTGTTTCAGCTTCCGTGAGATTATGAAATGTCACAGCAGCTGCTTCCTGCTGTCCCGATAAAGCCCCTGAGTAGCATTCTTCCGGCATGTCCAAAACAAAGACTTCGTTGTCTGAGTTGTTACCCTATCCATCAGCGAGCGGTCATGGTGTGTTGTAACTTGAAGGCCTCGAATATTTACACCAATATGCTTTCTCCATGTTTCCGCAAGGTTCCCATATAGCTTCCGGCGGCTTCGGGTCATTCCTCCAAGGATGGCACAATTCATCATCATCGAGCAAATCATCAGAGCATGTAATGACAGCAGCTACCTCCTTTCCCCTTCGTTTTGGCAAGGGGTCCTCATCAATTGTTTGCTTCCTAGAGGGAAGTTCAAGGACTCCCTCATGTATTTTGGCGTGTAAAATCCTCCTGAGACTTTGACAGGCAGTAGTTGGATGCCCCACAAATTGGTGATAACGGCAGTACCAAAGATCATTCTTTTCCTCTCGGGTAGGAATTTTGTAGGGTCAGACAGGCTTGATTACGCCATCAGTAATCATTGTGTCAAGAATAGCATGAAATTCTTCATCTTTGCATGGTAATGGTGGATACGTCTCCCTATCCTTTTGTTTGCGTGAATTATAGTCATTGGATGGCTTGTCATCTATTGCCAATGTCTGATGCGCTTCCTTCTTCTCATTCCTCCAAGTCCTTTGTCTTGTTGGCTTGACGAACATGCTTGTCTTCCTCACAGCTTCCAGCAGCCGAGAAAATTAACTAATGCCAATATTCTCCAAATACACTCTACAATCTGCCACAATATTGCTGATGCAGATTTCAACAAGCGCCTCCTCATCTTTCTCATCATAGCAATCCAATGCCAGGTCCCGGAACATACGCACAAAGTCTATGGGATCCTCACCATGCTTTTGGCAAGTGTTGTTGAGTTGAGTGGTGGTGACTCGTTCTTCATGCTGGAAATACTTCTTACAAAACCTGCTTGCCAAGCTTTCCCAATAGTGAATAGAGCCAGGTGCCAACGTCGTATACCACGTGTAAGCACGATCGGTGAGACTCTTTGAAAATTCTCTAAGTCGAAGATTATGATCACCAACATATGGTCCCAAGGCATAAATGAAGCGATTGACATGCTCCTTCGGGCTCCCCTTCCTCCCGTCAAAGAGGACAAAGGTTAGTGCTTCATAACCTTTAGGATATGGCTGTTGGAGTAAGCTTGATGGGTACGGCTGTTGAGGAAGATACTTCCAATCTCCTGACTTCGACTCAGCTCCTTTTCCAGCATGGCAACAACGTCCTCCTGAGTGACAAAAGATGGTCTTTTTTTCTCAGATTCCTTTCCGGCAACAGCAGATTCTTCTTGTGGGTGTTTCTCATTCACTTCACTTGGCTTTGGAGCCGAATTTTTGAGTTTTTTTTATCATCTCTGCCATCTCCCTCTGGGTCTCACTCATAGCATGAATGGCTGCAACAAAGTCTGTGAGGGTAAAAGTTCCCTCATTTGCACGTTCTTCTTCTCTAGAAGAGGCATGTTGCCTTGACTCTGAGTCAGCATGGCTTGGCCCATCCTGGGAAGTCATGTTGTTGCTTCTGGTCTTCTTTCTTGGAGGCATTGATGAAGATAATGGCTTAATCCCCAGTAGAGTCGCCAATTTATGTGGGGGACTTTTTCTTCCTGCAGCTAATGGGCTGGGCTGTTGTAAAAGGGCGGACTGAGGAGACTGTCCCCTTTGCCTGGGTTCGAAGATTAAGCCCCAAAATACCTCGAAAGAGTAGCAAAATCTTAGGAGATATTATGGCTATCTTCACGGATCCGAATAATGGTGACTTACAGATAATTTTGGCATGCTTTCAGATAGTCTTTTAGCTCATCATGACTGGCATGTGGCATGGGAGCAAAACCAACATAAGTTTAGCACTAAGAGAGAGATTAAGCTTGGTTTATGAGAAAAGGAAGTATTAAGGTAAGGAATGAGGTGTTTTGTGAGGGATTTTGACTAGGAAAGAGGAAAAAGAAAGGCAGAGTTCTTCTGGCAGCTGCTAGAAAAATAAATTGGAGAAGAAAGTGAACAGTGCACGAGGTAGTTAGATTTTTGCAAGTTTAGAGAGAAAGCTTAGAAAGCTTGCTCCCTGAATTTTGAGTTGCCTCTGTTGGGTAGGGGAAGCCTCAATTTATAGTTGCTGGAAATCACCATTCTTCAAGAAACCCTAATGGCTTCTACTTATTTTGGCTAAGCTTTTTCCTCATTTCTCCTTCTCTTTTCTGACTTCCCTATCTTGGCAAAAATTGTCTCTATTTATTTGCTCGAATTCAGGAGATTTGGGAGCTCAATATCCCCCTTTCCCGCAGCTGTGCAGTGGGAGTTTCCCTTCTTGGTTACTGTTTTTTCTTCTTTCCTTCCCCCTGCCTTGGCTAAATCTGATGAAGGAAAGGAATTGAAAATATATGCTGGTCCAATGGGTGCTTTTAACAGCGTGCAGGCTAGCATTCCTTGGTTCTTTGGGCGTCTCTGGCTTGAAACTTGCTCCCAGCAGCTTTGCTTGCTAAGTCTGCCAACCTCCTCCTTCACGTGTTTTCTATTTTTCAAAAGAACTGAAGCTTTTGTGGGATGTTTTAGGATTTCATAAGGGCCAAGGTGGTTTCCAAAGCAAATGGGCTTTTTGTGAAATATTGGGCCTCTTAATTAGGCTTATTTTTTTTGGTTGGGTCATTTCTGGGTTAGGTTATTTTGCTTGGGCTTTTGGGCTACTTTTCTCTCTTGTGCTTACCCACATGTTTGGGCCTGAGAAATGGGCTTGAGTCTCGAGGCTCCCAAGCAACCCGAGACTTTCCATTTTTCTGGCTCATCAATGGGCCTCATG